CGGGCTGTATCAAAAGGATGCGTGCCGGCGTTAGCCGGCGAGTCGACTGGTGTGAGTAATAGTCCTTGAATAGAGCGAAGTTTGTCACCAGCAGGTTTCTGTATTCTTCCTTACATCGTTGTCTGATGAATGTCTGCAAACCTCAAGAGTGATTGACTTGGGTATGGCTTGAGAAGAAAAGGCTCACCGTCACCCTCCTCTTGTGTTTTGTTGGCTTTCATTTCGGGAACACCTCCCGGAATGAAAACCAGCAAAACCCTCCGTTGAAGGACGGAAGGCTGGAGAGGAATGGGGCCTACTTCTAGAGTAGTTCGCAGCGTTCCTTTTTTACTTTGCGGGATCACTGGGAGAAATATTACCTAGGTTTTTTGATTTCTTCTATTGAGGATTGCGAAGAGAATTTTCAGGTGATTGGAGACTTTGACGAGCTCCTTGACCGGCCAGAGTTCTGTCATATAGAAAAGATTAAAACGATAGGAGCAGCATATATGGCAGCCAGTGGTCTGAATCCGGAGCGAAAACGAAATATGGAACACCCGAAAGAACATCTCTACCAGGTATGTTCATATCGCACCACAGCCATCTGATGCGTACTTGGAAAGCGTGGAACAGGTTAGATTCCTGGCTAAGGTAGACTTTTGCCCGCGAATTGGCTCTCTTGTGTTGGGTTGGGGAATAAGTTCGTTCGGTTTTTTTTTCCAAAGAACCTTATTTGAAACCAAAACAATAATAACAATAAATTAATCAAATATGTATTCTCCGTCATTGTTTACGACCTCCTCCCACCTCTCGACCAATTTGTTGATGCCGTTCCGCCAAAAATCGCCAGGTCTAGTGTCGAAGAAGTTGTTGAGCCAGTTTTGAGGTCCTCTTCGTCTTCAAAGGTAACACTCCTCACTTGGTTTGACATGGGGCGGAAAAGTTGATAGTCGGTTGGCGCAAAGTCCGGAGCGGTATGCGTGGATGCTGAAGAACCTCTCATCCGAGCTCTTGGAGTGCGGCTTTGACGACTTGTGCAACATGCGGCCTGGCGTTGTCGTGGAGTAGGATGACTTGACCTTGTCGATCGGGTCTTTTCATTGATGTTGCCTATTTACACTGGTGCAGCTGGGCAAATATAAGAGGTCCTGACTGTGGCGTTTGTTCGAGCATTTCCAGTGAACCATAAACATTCCAGTCCGCATCTGAGTTGCAGATCATTCTCTTTCTTTAGGAGGTAGATCCCTGCATGTGACTCTATGCTGTCGACCTGTGTCCTGGTGGCACCCATCCTCTCTCTCCGCTGACAGTAGCAGACCACCACTTGTCTCACCCCCGTCCACGATTGGTACAAAAAGCGCTGTTTTAGTGATCGCTGTTGCTTCGCTGCGGCGAAGTGTTGAGCAGCGATTTGAAGATGATTTTCTTTGTTGATTTCGATAAGCTCGGAGGCACCCAGGCTCCGAGTTTTTGGGCAAAGTAGGTGTTGAAAATGCCGATTTTTGCCTCCTGGATATTCCTTTTCTGAACCTAAAAAATGAAATTATACTTACATACAACAAAACATCTATTTGTAGAGCAGAAAAAGCACTTCCTCTTGATGCAAACAGTTTTGTGCCGAAACAAAAACAAATCATTTGAATAAAGCTCTTTTTGAAAGACGCAACGAACATCATTCCCCCAACCCTATAGGATAGCTACCATGGATATTTCCGACGCGCAGACTATATATACCATCCTTTATCTCGGGGGAACCGAATTGTTTCTGCCTCCCTCATGAGAGGTCCAGTCAAGTTTTTCAAATATGCTCCATATCCCGTCAATTCAAATCCTTTGGTGGGATGCGCAGAGCAGCGCATTCGTGCTGTGCCGATTCAGAGATGCGTAGTTGGCCGTTATGAAATCGCGAGTTGTGGCGTATAAACAAATGCTTGGCCGGCGGGGCCAGCCGATAATATAAGTCAGTGTTCTTTAATCCTCGGCAGACGAATCGTGTAAACCTGAGCGTTTATACGTTCCCGGAGGGTACGAAGGCTTAGTTTGGCTGGGAGGGTTCTTTGACCTGGATTCGAGCCAGGACCCAGGACTCGCTCGCTACTTCTCACTACACCACCTCCGCCTCAGGCATAAGGCACGATAATTTGGTACTTCATTTATACGGTGGCAGGGGTCCGGGTCGGTATGTTGCCGCTTGATAGGGCGCTATAAGGGTACTATCCTTGAAAAGGCACCACGCAGCGCTTGCTTGAGGGCACTGACTTCTGCCTACTAGGCGATTAATTCTATATACGTCTCGGCGATTTATCGTGGTGCCAATTGCTGAAACGTGCCAGTGGACAGTTATAGGACGTCTGCGAGTTTTGGGGGGGCGATCGTCTTTCTCAGCCTCAAAAGCATAAGGCAGAATTACAGTAGTCTCAAATAGGATTACGCACGAAAAAAACGCATGTTGTGCATGCTGAATACCCGCAGATGTTCAAGCCAACTATGCAACCACGCCGTCCCCATCTACGTGATATGGAGTATAAACTCCTACCTTATCAGAGCATACCTGTAGAAGTTGCACGTCCCCGTTGTTCTCACACTGTGAGGGAGTGTGCAGGATACGCCTCCACAGTGTGAGAACTCACCCAGTTTACAAGTATGTGCTTACTGCTCAGTGTCGCGCACGCTCCTCCCGTCGCGCTGCGTCTTTTGTCTGCGGATTCATCTGGAGACGGGCAAGAAAGTCGTATAATTGCCGCTTCGTCGCGCGCGGCAATGGGCGCGACGTTTCCTTAACTTGCATTACCCTTTCAAATGAAGCATCGGATTTCATGTAGACAAGGACATGGTGGACACTTATGTCTATTTTGGTCATACATTGTCCATTCTCGACCAATACCACCTAAAATCGTCGTCATTAGCGGGCGCGACGTCGCACGCGACGCCACTGACGCAGCGAATTCGAGTCTCTTGCCACATACCTCCCCCTGCTGGCTTCTCGTAGAATCCCATTCAGAAGGGATGAAATACATGATCTCTCTGAGTGAAAGCTAAATAATGCATTTTCAACTTAGTTTGCGTAACCGTACTAGTTATCCCTGGTAAATCTAGCCAGGAGTTGCTCCCTCAATAGAACGTTTCTCTCCGTTGATCCCCAATGTGCCTATTACAGATGGTCGAATTCGCGCTGGCCATTCAACACGTTTTGTCTGTGTTCAACGAAGATCTTCTCAACTTCGATTTCGTCTGCAAGTTAGGACTGAACATTGGGCCAGTAACGGCTGGTGTTATCGGCACGACAAAACTCTACTACGATATCTGGGGTGACACCGTGAACATCGCCTCACGCATGTATAGCACAGGAGTGCTCAATAGAGTTCAGGTACATAAATAAATTTCAGCCAAACAAGTGAAATCAGAGCACGTCCTGCCGCTGAGGAAAATTTTCGGAACTTGCGACCTCACCCCACCTAAGTTCCATCTGCCGACTACGACTGCCTCTCTCTTCCCAATCCTACTTTTCTCGCTGTTTTTTTCTGCCTTCTCCAGTTTCTTCCCCCAGATTTGCTAGCCCGAGGGGGAGGGGAGAGTAGACCATTGGAAGCGAGATAATTTTCTTGCAAGGGCTAACAACACGAACAGCCCCTTGTGTCTCTCAAACGATGTGAACAGCGCCCGTGAAACAACAAAAAATCAGCTATCGAAAAAATTTTCCCAGATTAAAGACGAACCCCTCTCTCCAGCAACCAGATATCGCCTCCTATCCGCTGGGGATGCCCCAACGTACGACGTGTCCTGAGCTATTCCTTCCTATAAACTTCAAGTAGGCTAGCAGCAACATGTTCCTGTTGAAGAGCTGTGCTGAATTTGTGGGCGGCCTGCTTGGTGATGAACCTTCAGAAGCCCTTCGTACTTTGCGGCAGCGACTACCAGCGTCTACTAACGTCTGGCAGTGCCAGCGACTAGAAAAGTATGGGTATCGATTTACCAACTGCTAGCGTCTGCCAGCGTCTGCCAGCGTCCACCAGCGACCGGGAGTAGAGAGTATGGGGAAGTAGGAGGGTAGCAAACAGCTGGATTAGGCGTCGTGAAATTGCGGCGTGTGCAACCGCACCGTACAACTACACTACACCGTACATTAAATTGCATAATTCTGTGCTTTAGCAGTTGTGCGGTGCGATTGCGCACGCGGCAACTTCACGGCGCCTAATCCAATGCTACCCTCCTACTTCCCCATACTCTACTCCCTGTCGCTGGTGAAGGCTGATGGACGCTGGCAGACGCTGGTGGACGCTGCCGCAAAGTATGAACCCAGCCTAAGAAGTCAGCAGCTGAGAACGCTTGGTGCTGACAGGCGTCCATCAGTAACTGACGGTCAGGACTCCAGCCGCAAGCAATTCGTCAACGAGGAACCCCTAACGTTTATCCTTGATATGACCTTTTTCAGGTGTCTGCTCATACCCGAGATATTTTACTAGACAGATACGAGTTCGAGTACAGGGATCACATTGAAGTGAAAGGAATCGACGGTGGAATGGATACGTATCTGTTGGTTGGACGAAAAAGCGAGCGTATCCCACCAGCCATTTCAGATCACGGCAGTACCACTGGCGAGAGCAAACCGGCTCAACCAGCGTCTACCTAGCCTGTAACCGATCCAACTCATTTCATAAATTCCGCACTTGTTTTCATTGCATTCTTTACAACTGTGTCTTGCCATCCCTGACAGCTGATTTTGTTATTTATATGCGGGTCTGTAGTAACGTACTAGGGAACTCATCCTGTCTTGTTGCGTTGAATATCGCCACAACTGTTTGATAAACAGCCAGATCAAATTTTGCATTTTTTTTCTACAAATCTCTATTTGTTACTCGAGTATCTCAATCTCTAGTCATTTCTGGGCATTACGCTTTCTGACGGCATTCTTCTCCCTTCAAATTATCTGGTCTTCCATTAGCTGGATTAATCGCTTAGCGCTCGTTTGTTATTATTGAGACATTTTGGAAACGTGAACAGAATCTCGGTGATTGTTGCTTCAGAGTATTTGATATTATGTAAATAAAACATCACTTTCAGTTTACAGTTTACTTTTAGTTGATAAAACATCACTTCCAGTCTACGTCCGGACCATCGTGGCTGACAAAAGGATGCATCACTACATGCACACAGTGAACGGGCAATCTGTATCGGGTATTGAGTCGTTACGTTAGCGACATCATCAGACGATCGCACGATCCGGAAATTGTCCTGACTGCGACCTACCGCACCCTGAGCTGCGTTCATACTTTGCGGCAGCGTACACCAGCGACCTTCAACGTTACGAGCGTCCGTCAGCGTCAGCGGCTAGGAAAGCGTAGGTATCGATCTAGCGGATGGCAGCGTCCACCAGCGGACGTCAGTGGCTCGTGAGACTAGGGAAGTACAGTTTTTGATCTAGCCCACCATGTCCACTAGCGACCAGGATTAGAGTATACGGAGAAGTAGGAGGGTAGCAGATTGCTGGTAGAGTAGGCAGAGTAGGCAAGGACTCTGATGCCGTTTGGACGCGCTAGGTTTTGCCCCTACTCATTTATGAAGTGTCTAAGTCACCAAATCCGATGAGAACTTGTATACAGGGGTTATCTAACATCGTTATTACAAATATGGCATTCATTCTTGGCGCTGGCGCTTAGGAGAAACACGGTTAGCGCGCTGAGCCCAGAACATAACCGTAGGGTCCTTCATTAGTGCCAGCATCAAGTGTGAGTGTCATATTCGTAGTCAGGATGTTAACACGTTGAAACAACGCGGGTTTTTACTTTTTGGCCTCGTGGGACACGCGCGCTTTCTTGAACGCCACAAGCGCGGTACGCATACAATTCAAGCCGTCCCACGAAGCGCTTTTTTGGAGATTGGATCGAAAAACCTGGTTTAGAGAGCGATTGTGAGGCAAGTCAATTATTTACTATGGAAAAATCTGGGCTGGCCAACTCTCTTTGCACCAGGGCCAGGAATTTGTCTAGAACCAACTTTTTTCATGAAAACGCAAATCGTGGCTCCAAAAACGCAAATCGTGCTTTCTATAGGATTCAGAATCCTTCACCTTATATTTTTATCATTATCAATGTTGTAATTGTCTGTATTTGTTGGCAAAGAGTTAAACAGCAAACCAATCTTTTCACAGGAAATCTTTGCTTGCAAAGCCGACTAAAGGTTCAAATTAGACAGAATGCGATGTTGTTGGTATCACACAGTCAAAAAAATAGTTTACTATTAATCCAATTAAATAACAACGGCACGGAATGAAAAGTGATGAAAGATTTATGAAATTCTGATGACAGTATAGCCTCCTTGTCGTGTGTTACCACTGCCTGCTTGCTTCCTGTTGGTTTCGTGCGATACGAGGAATGATGACAAGCATAGTTTTTTCGAACAAAATACAGTGCGAGTAAGAGATCAAGCTGCCGCCGCATTTTCAGTATTTGCGAACAGCAATTGTGATTGACTATAAACACCAGTTTTGATTCAAGCTCTTGCAACATATCGATGAGTACTACCAGCAGAGCTAAAATGAAGCTGTTCCAGGAACTGAAACCTCATCGTCAGAGGGAATGCAGCTATTCACCGTTACAAATAATTGCTCCTCAATGTGATGCGATGTCTGATAACTTGCACTCTACCACAACTACAAACAGGATGTCATTCGAACAGTGTCCAAAAGTTCATTCAAAATCACGTGTTTCAAAAGACAGTAGAAAGCCAAAAATCATCCGAAAGACTCAAAAGATTCGAAAGCTCAGAAAGACTCGAAAGCTCCAAATGTTCTCCCAAAAGTTCTCAAAAAACTTAGAAGATTCGGGCGCA